ATAGTAGTAGAGACTAATAAATTAAATAAATAATAAATAAATTAATAACTAAATAACTAAACTAACTAAACTAACTAAGTTAAGTTAGTTAGGTTAGTTTAGTTAATTTATTATTTATGTAATTATTATTTTACTTTTTTTCATATTTTTATTAGGTGCGTCTCACTAAGATGTACACACGCTCCAAATTTCAGATCATTATGTTTAGTAAAAAAAAAAGAAAAAAAGAAAAAAAATTGAAACACTATCAGACAACTATGACCGCACGATGAACTTTGGATGGTGATGATGGTATGCGAAATCACTGTTTATTTTCACCTATAGGCGTTTTGTTGTATCCTCTGGGGAATTGGGGATTGTAAACTGTGAGACCATTTTCCTTAATTACAAAAAGGGCACAAATATCTCTAACTCTCTAATTTCAAATGTCTATGATTTTGTATAATGTCGATGCTCTAAACAATCAAAGTAAAGCGCACATTTAGATAATGTTGAGAAATGTAGTCTCAATAGTGGAAATTTATAAAATGAAAAAAGAGTGCAGATTGAGCAGATCTATGAAAACTTAAAAATCTTGAAAATTGACGGTCCAAAAATGCATTACAAGATGCACTATTTATAACACTTGAAATTCATTTTTTTCTCATGTTTATGCATCTTGAGGTTGACATGATCAATTTTAAGATATTTGGGCATCAAAACCACCATTTCCAGTGAAATTTTTTATGTGTATTCTAATTTGATTGTTTAGAGCCTTGCACTTATATAAACTTTTTCCATTGCAAATTGTACAACTTGGGGTGAGTCATGAACTTCAAATTTTTGAATTTTGAATATAGTTAATAATATATGTATAACTACTAGATTGAAATTTGATGGAAAAAAAGTGATTGTGACCTCATTATACCAAAAATTGAAATAAAAGCCTACAATCAAATTAGAGACTACCTTAAAATTTCATTAGAAGAGGTTGTTTTGATGCCCAAATATCATCAAATTAATCATCTCGACATCAAGATGCATAAACATGAGAAAAAAAAAATAGATTTATAGTTTTGGAAATAGTGCATCTTGTAACACATTTTCGACCAACAATTTTCAAATTTTCAAGTTTTCATAGATCCGCTCGATCTACGTTATTTTTGAAGGTTTAGATTTTATAATTAAAGATAAAAATATATTTTAAGGCTATCACAAAAATTTCCAGAATTGAAACCATATTTCTCGATACTATTTGAAGGTGCGATTCACTTTGATTGTTTAGAGCCTCGGCTCTTTGCAAACTGCACCCAAAAGTAAATTGTACCTTTACATTATTCCAATAAGGTTGCAGGTGGCATTAAGATGCATCCCTAGGTGTAGAGGTAAGGCATACCTTCAAATTTTATCATGGTATATAATTTTGATGTAAAATGTTCTTAGGATTATCTCAAAATCTATTTTTATATCTAATTATAAAATTTTAAAATTAAAAAATGTTTAAAATCAAGTAGATATATAAATATATAAAAATCTTGAAAATGAACGGCATAGATAATATGTTGTAAAATGTATTATTTTTAATATTTAAATTTATTTTATTTTTCATAGTGACATATGTCAATGTCGAGGGGTTTTTCAACGTGAAAACACCTTTTTCGATAGATTTATGGATTTTTGAGGGGCATCCGTAGTTATACATTAGGTACTAAGGTAGCTCCTGAATTAAACTTTTTCCTTCCAATAAATATGAGCCCTTCTTTGTCGGAGCTTGAATTATTAGGCTGCAAAGAGAGTGAGAGAGAGGGGCGAGAAACCATGGCAATTCAAATGTAGCCATGAACAAATATCGTAAGTGCCCAAAAAAAGTTACTCTCTTCCCGCTTTGCTGAAACTGTAAGAGCCTCCTTAATCTTGACTGCAAGTGAGTAATTGCTACTGAGTGTTTTCTTTTTTTTCATCTTTCTCATTCCTCTTTATGTTATTCTAATTGATGGTTTCTTTTTTCTTTTTCGTTTCTGGTTGTGATTACTGGTTTTCCATTATTCCTTTTTGTTGGCGGATCATTTTTATGGTTGATTTACAGGGTTTTGATGGTTCCTTTGATATTTATGCACCAGTTGTGTTTCATAAGGAGGTGCTTCATGCTATGGAATTAATAACTTCGGGTTTAGCGTTTTATTTTGATTAGTTTAATTTGTTTGCTTGAGAAAATGCCTGCTTTTATTGTGGGGATTAGTTTTGAGGGAAGTTTGTACCAGAATAGTTCATCAATTGTTCAATTCATGGTCCATATTTTATTTCTCTGTGAAACTAACTTGGGTAATGTATTGTTCAACTTAGTTTATTCACTATTCAGTTGTGAGTTTTGGAAACGGATGATGGTTTGAATTTGTCTTCTATTACTATCCATATTTATCAGGGTTTAAATAACAGGGGCTGCCCAGTTGTTTTATCTAGGGTTTCTAATAATCATAATTAGTCTTATGCATCTGAACTGGTATTAACTGTACCTGCATACCCAATTGCATTTGGTTAGACTTATGGCATAATTATTGAAACTTTTATTGAGAAAGCAGTTAGATCTTGGTGGAAGAAAGTCATCGCAGATTTTACATTATATTATCTGATTCTTTCGGAGGTGGCAGATGGGTCGTGGAGTTTTTTTTTTTTCTTATATAGGTCTAGTGCGTAGGAGACTGGTAGTAGGAGCGTCTCATTTCTAACTTGTGCTTTTTGCAGTTGGCTTCTTTTCCTGAGTAATTTATATTAGATAAATATTATTTAAGGGGGTCAAACCCCTTAACAAATTCATTAGAGGGGTCAAAAGATCCTAATGACCATTAAAGGATTTATTTTTTAATTTTCATTTCACTCAAATACCTCATCAAAGCCCTCATTTAGAGTTGGAAACGCTGAACAAGCATGAATGAACAAACGGGGTAACATGTTATTTGGTTGGGTTCCTATATAGGTCAAGTTACTCAAATGCCCGTGCTTGTTCAGGTTTCCCAACCCCACCCTAATTAGGGGCAATTAGGGTATTTTGGGGACATTTTTTGAGGAGGCACTTAAGTATAGTGAAAATTAAGAAGTAAATTGTCTAGTACTGATTGGGATATTTTGACCATGATTTTGTAAGGGTTTATGGCTCCTTAAATGATATATTTGCTTTTTATTACCTATAGGTTATAAATCATATTATTGAAAGCGTTGGTGGGCTCCAGAAGGAGATGCAGAAAGCAAATGTTTCTTATGCAAGACATTGTTGTTTGGGAGTATGATTAGTAGCTTCTGCTTGTCACTCATCAGTATAATATTAGGATTCAAACGGTTGGCCAACTAATTATAAATAATGTTACTCTTGAATCATCATCATTTGAGCCTTTTCCCAACTATTTGGGGTAAGCTAATGCTACTCTAGAGTGATTAATTTATATTGTATGAGTATTGATCAAAAAAGAAAACCTATATTATATGGATTTATACTTATTTCCCGCATTAATACAACGGGTGGAGTATCTGCTCAAGCCTCTCGCTAACTCAGCAAATGCACACACACATACACATGCACAATAGTTTCATCATAGAAATCATTGTCATCCATTTGTCTGCTGTCCATCAAAATTATCACAATCAGCGTTGTGGATGCTGTTCGAATTCCAAATCTTCTCATTGTGAATCGTGAAGAAAAAATTTACCCTCTATGTTGTCTCTTCAGCATCTAATCATTCCTAACCAGCATTCTATGTTACATGCATTACTTCTTTAATTTTTTCTATCGCTTTCAGTCTCAACACAAAAGATTCTCCTAGAACACTTTGAGGCTGTGTGCATTTATTTGGTTCAAATTGGAGAGTTCACTTTCCCTGAATGATTTTGTTTGTGTAAGCAGATAGCAACAGTTCTATGAAGTCTGGACATAAGTTATATAAGTTGGTAGAACTACCAATCAAACTAGGATTCACCAATCAGTTAGCATGAATTTATTCTAGTAACACTAAAATGCTTATGCTTAATAGGGATAGTTCTCCATATAAAGTTTTGAAGTAGTTATGGCCTTTATCTAGGTATTGCATAGGCATTGGAGTACGGCGACATTTTTACCTTTTTTCAGTGTGTCATTCTGCTTTCGAGGCATGGATGTTCTGCTGTGGCCCCCAACACCTGATCTCAGAGCCAAGAGTCTGAACAGCTAGAATTTATTTAATATAATATAGGGAATTACTATGATTTGTTAATCTACAATGCTCTTTGTTTTCATGTTAGAAAATTGGCAATAAACTTGCAGATTCATCTGTATGTGATGTTTTTTATTTATGAATAGGCCATGTTCTGTATATTGCACAATTTTGTTTTTTTGTATCTTAAGCTTGCTATTGTGCTTCTTTTCCGATGTTATGGTGCTTTAAGTCATAGGCACTAGGATTTTGTTTGTTTATTTAGATATGCATGGACTAAGTTTTTCCTTATGCACACTTTCTCAAACTTATATCCTATCAAAATCTTTGTTCCTCATTGGAGTTGGTTTTTTGTTTTTTGCATTGAAATATACTTATTCCTTGCTGGAGTTTGACCTTCTTTTTACTACATAAAATTCAATTTCTTTATTATCCAAAACTCCCTCTTGATTTTCCTTTACATCATAATGATTAAAAATATGAGTTGATTTCAGGTACTTGGAGTCATTATGGGCAAGGAGGAGTTGACTGCTCAAGAAACTGCATTATATGATCGTCAGATTCGTATATGGGGGGTTGATGCCCAAAGGAGGTATGTTGATGTTCTCTGTTTATGCCATAATATTGAAACATTTGAAGTAGTCGACTGTAACTTACCACTTCTAGATGGCATTTGAACTATACATTTTACCTTAGTTGGGTGATGTGGGAGCCAGAGTGGGACACTGTCAGGTTCCAAAAGTTTGAAGTTTTGAAGCGCTTAAAAATGGGTCAGACATTGCATATTTGTATGTGTGTTGTATGTGTACAGAAACTCAAAGAGAGCTTGCTTGGCTCAACACTTTCACAACTACCCTTTTCAACTCTGCTGCGGATTCCATGAAGTTCCTCCCATTTAGCTGCTTCAATCAAGAATTTAATTTTTGAAAGTTGAAATTTAAAATTATAAAACCCGAAAACTTCGGCTGCTATGAAATATATAAAGTGAGTTGCCACATCCATGCTTTAATACCCGAGTGCATTGGCAACTTGGCATCTTCATCGTGATATCTACTAGTATAGGGGCCTGATTCACTGCTACTTCTTTCCCATTCATCAATTTTGAAATCAAGTTCCAACCAAGGATTTCTTATCTAGTGTTGGTTGTTTGATCTTGATCAACCATTACTCAACTGTGCATTGTTGCTCATATATTCCATGTTGATTGGGTCTTCCTTTGTTAGGGGCCGTTTGGGTCCCTGGAAATCTATTACAGGAAAATAGATTACAAGGAAATATGAGATTTACACTGTTTGGGTACACTTTAATAATAAAGAAATGAAAATAGATTACCCGAGATTTCCCAGAAAATCATAACCCATTACTAGCAGACCTGGTAAGCCCTACTCTCTTTCTCTCTCGCCTCTCTCTCTCAGCCCCTTCCCCCGAACGCATGAAATTGCCTCGCCCCTAATTCCCCTTGTTAGGGTTTTTAAGATCCCTTGTTTCTCTGCAACTAAAAGCTTGAGCTTTGCATCCATGGCAATGTTCTTCCAGAGCCAGAACCCTTACTGCTTCTTCCCAAATCTCCGAGCTCTTGGCCGCCATTAAAATACTAGAAAGAACAGATATAACCTGCTTTAACAGGGAACTCTTGATTTCTCTCTCTTTAGCAAATCGATCAAGCTTAGTCAAGATTTCAGAAGAAACCATGACTCCAACAATGCCTTGGATCTAGCGTGATTCGACAAGGCCTAAACTACAAATAAGATGGTTCGATTGGATTAGGGTTAGGGTTCCGATTCGATTCCATCCAAATTTTAATAAGGCATTTAAGAATAACCAAAGTGACAGGGTATAGCCATTGTTACAATTTTTTAAAATTTTCACGCACCAATATGTCACAGTCTCCAGCTATTCTTCGTGAGAACTATTTGTACTGAATTTCAAAGAACCCATGTTTGGAAAATAAATATTTGAGATGATTTACCACTCACATATAATCCATGGTTTTGGATGCAACACATCAATGTTCGATGGTCAAATAATATAACATGGGACATCCATTTTGTGGTCCAGATGACAGACAATGGAGATTTACTGTGGCCTCGGCAAATATCCGGTTGTATTTTTTGTTTGAAGGACTTTGGTCAGTTGCAGGGCAAGTATTGTTGCCATTGTCGAGCCATTTTTGGATGCTCGATCGAGTGTAGGTGACGCCAGTGCATAGGCTCATTGATGATTTCATTATATCCAATGAAATTGGGCGATTAAAGAACGTTGGGACTGTGATGCGTAGGTTATTCTTCGTCGCCACTGTTCCAGAGAGAAGATTATGAAGATGGGTGCTGTAAAATTGAGATAGAAATAATGGGTTATGGTCAGAGAGGGGATTTTGGTGATTGGTTCATGCAGATTTTAGAGAGAGAAATTGGTTGGAAGAGAGAAAATTTGAAGATGAGTGCCTATAAATTTGATGATGAGTGCCTATAAATTTGAGAGTTTATGGTTTGCAGATTTTAGAGAGAGAAATTGGTTGGAAGAGAAAAAATTTGATGTGCCTGTAAATTTGAGAGTTTATGGCCCGAGTGAGAAGGAATAAACTTTTAAGATGGCAAAAAAACCGCCTTACTGCCCCAATAAAATTAAGACAGTATATTTTATCCAAAATAGTGATAATGCATTTCCCATATTTCTTCTAGACATAGCCAAACAGTAGCAATGTATTTTCCAAGCTGCATCTAGATACTACCCAAGCAGTAACAATCCATTTGCAGGTAATATATTACGTTAGTAATATATTACGCCAGTAATATATTTCCTAGACAATATATTTCCAGGTACCCAAACAACCCCTTACAATTCTTTTATAGTCATCTCATCCCTAACCTATAGTGCATGAACCTGAGTGTTCCAATTTCCTTGACGGAGGCATGTCTCTGCTGCTCAAATGAATGAATTGGAAAGTGCTTTAGTTCTGCTCTTTATTGGACAATGGACATATCGCGCCGAAGATGCTTTGACCTTTAGGGGTTTGAAACTCTTGCACTTTTTTACCGTTTTTTGTGAAAACCTCAGGGGCAAATGATCAAGAAACAATGGATAGGCAATGTAGGATCTTTCAAGCTCCTGTGATCTGGATATGCATTCTGATTTAGGAATTAGGAAACAATAAAGAACTTGAAATTCAATTACACAATTATCTAATTGTATGTACTTCTGGGGTTTGCGGAGTTAAAAGTCTTTTGCTGCTCTCTCTTCATATGCACTTACTTAAAAGTCTTTTGCTGCTCTCTCTTCATATGCACTTACTTGTGCTAAGGTGGGCACATAATTTTCCATTGAAATTTGTTTTATTTTATGCTTTTTGGGTAATATTTTTACCTTGGGAGTCTCTCATGCCATTATTGCTAATCCCATAACATTTGTGTTAAATGCAACCCTTTCTTCGAAGCATTGCTCTTTAATTTTGGTTTTATATCTCTATGGTATTTTATCTGTTTAGTTTTTGTTCATTTTGTTGAATTATTGGCTGTTCTTTTTTAGACTAAGCAAGTCACATATCTTGGTTGCTGGGATGACGGGCACGATTGTTGAGGTAATTACTTGCTTTGAGATTTTTACCTTTCTTCAATATAATGCAAGCTTTTACTTTTCAGCTGTCCAACTTAAGATATACTGTTGGTTCGATCAACCATTTTTTTATTAAGTTCATTCTCATTTTAAGAAGGTAATAGAATGGAGATGGAATGTACACCTATGGTGAGAGGATGATTCCAATGCTACGAGTTTAAGTATTCCTTTCAGTGATAGGAGGGGCTTGTTTTTTTTCCCCTCCCATGTAAGAATCGTTGTTATCTTCTGCTTAAGCTTTTCCTTCACAGTATTCAGGTCGATCCATTTTTCAGTAGTAAGTTTCAGTCTTGTTTACCTACATGGTGGCTGTTGTGCACGCTTGATTATAACTTGTGCTGCAATCCCCTTTTCCGAGTTTCATGTCTTAGTTCCTTGATGAGTTCATGTTAGGTTTTCTGCTGAAATGCAAAGCCTTGTTCATTAAGGTTGTCTGAGGATTTTAGGTCTTAGGGTGACACAAATAGCCCAATCGCCATCATCAGTCCCAACTTGTCGACTCCTGGAGATTAAAGAAAAAAGTATCTGCTGCCTTCCTCTTTGGGTATCTGTATGTGTTAATGTTTTACTGTGTTATACTGGGAGAGCAGTCCTCCTTTATGCTTAATGGGATGATGTGGTAGTCTTGGAGACTTCTAACTTCTGAAGTAAATCTCTTGCCACATCTTGCCTATATGACACTTGGAAATAGGGAAGAGATCACTGTCCTGGAGTTACTTCGATTACCCTTAGATGGTTGGGAGTTACTAATGGAAGCACCATTGTATTGAGCATCAAGGACCCCTTTGGCAGCTTAGTTCATAGAGTTCCAGTTCATAGTTTCGGAACTTTACCTGATTTGTAGAACTTCCCCCCCTTCCCCCAGTTGATAATCTGGACTCAAACGGATGACAGTTTGGCGGGCCTTGCATCTTAACCAGAAGGTGAAGATATCAAATTTTCAGAAGCATGAGGCAATTAGCAACATCTGTACTTGTTATGCATTATTGCATTATTATAATTAATCCAATATCTGTCATAGAGAATGTAAATCATTGTGGTTTATTGTATTTCTCCCATTCACTGTTGCTAATTCCATTATTTGTTTGGGTTTTCCCTGGAATCACTTCTGTGGGTGGAGATGAACTCATACTTTGGTCATTTAATACTGTGATAAGAAATGCAAAACATTGTGGTTAATTACATTTTTCCTGTTTGCTGTTGCTTGTTCCATTGTGGGGTTGGTTTTGCCTAGGGAACCACTTCTGTAGAAAAGATGAACTCATTCTTTTTGTGGCTTAATAGCTTGATATGTCTTGACTATTGATATAACCTTCTTGATATGGATAAGTACTTCATAATATATTTGAAGTAGCATCATCATAATATATAAAAAAAAGAAAGGAAAAAGGTTATCATCAGCTATTTATTCCAATTAAGTCATCTGAAAATGTATGTAAAGTGTTCCTGCTGTTGCCTTCTTTTGTTCCTGTAGTTCTGCAAGAATATTGTCTTAGCTGGAATTGGCAGTGTCGTCTTGTTGGATGACCGCTTGGTCACAAGAGAAGCACTCTCTGTGAACTTCTTGGTTCCGAACGACGAGGAAAAGTTAAAGGGGAGGTCGCTTGCAGAAGTTTGTTGTAATTCTTTGAAGGATTTCAACTCGATGGTCCATGTTTCAGTGGAGAAAGGTGAGTCAAAGTATATTACTGGGGGCTCATCCCCATATGGACACAAACACATATGCACACACTAGTATACCTTTTATATGAGGAGGCTGTGTGGTCTTCTGTTGATCCTGTTTTGTTTTTAATCTTATTGTTTGTTATATTTGTTTTTTCCCACCATTCCTGTTCATTTAAGTAGTTGGTCAGTGATTGCTATAGCACATTGAAATAAATATTCCATGGTTCACCGTAATTTTATCTTTTGTCCCGTAAAACATTCGTTACCAGAAATCTAACCCTTTAATAAGTTTCTTGGGAATTGGAAAATTGTTTCATTCGGGCTGGACCGCATGACTTCATATGCAGTCCAAAAAGTGTAAAGCAACCATCTTAAAGATGGATGCAAGTAAGTGTTCCATCTAAAAACAATGGAAACTAACCGTCCAATTGTTTTCTTACTAGAATTATTATTTTTAGTTTTAAAATTTACTTATTTTTTTATATTCATGGTCTCCATGTTAGAGATTATATGTACTTAAAAATTAAGTCCAAAAATCCATCTCAAAAATAAATTTATTAATAGGCCCGCATTTCTACATATGCGGGTTTGGTCGCATAGAAACCAGGTTCAATAAATTTATTCGGAATTTCAGACATTTCAATGCAGACCTGTCTTTAATAAAGTTTCAGTTGAATTATTGTTTCACACAATTTTTGTAGATAAATTGAGGTACTCATTTTCCTTTTTTGGTTTGATGTGAGTGGATCCCAACATGTCGAATTGATAGGACCTTATGAGGTGGCTCTACCATGTTACCTTCCACTATTCTGTCTGAACTATCCAGATTTGTGAGTGCCGTGAATTTTCAGTATTTTCATTGATGATTGTGACATGATGCCCGTGTTACTAAGTAGTGCTGTGCGTTTTCTTGATCAATTTACATATCAAGCTTGTTTAAAATGAGTATAGAAGTTCTTTCATTTGTGAATGAAGGTAGGTGGCTATCGGTTAAAAAATGTGTGGGAATAGGTTTCATTTTCAAAAAAAATGGCTAATGATTCAGATGAAGGGACTCTATATGAGTAAGCTACCTTGCTAAAGATACTGGATAGGCATCTGTCATGTGCTAGTGTGCATACACATTTCTATTGCATTATCATCGAACTTTCTTTCTCATAGACTGTTTTTCTCTTTGCATTGATGGTGTGATGAGTATTTTTGCTAAGAATTGTGTGAATTGAGGGTTGTCTCGAGGAAAACCTTTAAAATGGAAGATCTAGGTCACTTAAGTATGTTTTTTTACAACATTGAGATATCGAGAAGCTGGGATTGTATAATCCGTTATTTCATCAGCAGCAAAAGTAATGATCTGCTTGCTAGATTCCGAAATGCAGGATTCCCAGTCTGTCAATCTATGCAAGCAAGGACCTTATTTATGTGAGGCGCTGTTGTACCACATGATTTGGATATGCTTCTCCCACTGGTTCACGGGGGGGCCACAATATTCCACTCTGTTTTGTGTGTGTGTGTGTGTGTGTGTGAGAGAGAGAGAGAGAGAGAGAGAGAGAGAGAGAGAGAGAGAGAGATGACTAATACTAAGTGTCGTTCCTTTACTTACTTTAATTTAACTTTACTAATTAACTTACGTTACTTAACTTAAATTTAATTAAGTTTAGTTACTTTACTTCCTTACC